AACATATAAAAAAAGAACATACTTAAATAATCTACTAGATATTTATATTTTTTAATAAATATTTCCGCCAGAAATTTCCAAATTAAAATAATAATTTTAAAATTTCTTTGGAAAAAAATGCGCAACAATATTTGATTAACTTTTTAAAAGCTTTTTTAATTATTAACTTGTAATGAACTTGTTTATTAGCATTGAAGTGGAAACTTGATGCGGAGCTCAACATTTTATACGATTTATACTCAGTGTATGTGAAGTGAAAGTATTATATTTCTATTTTGGAAATATTTGCAGCACTATGAAGAGGGTGAGGCCAATATAGAAAATATATTAATACTTGAGCAGAATTAAAAACTGAAGTGATCTGGCCTTGTCTGACGCACACTCTCTAACCCGATTTAGTAATCCCTGGATGAATAAAATAGAGAAAAGAGTCTGACCTGCGAGTCCGTCTGTTTGTATTAAGTTTGTAACACTATCGCATCAAATTTATTTCACATCATTGATAAGTCTACTATTGCCATCATATTGTCTTAAATCGATATATGTAAATATAATACTTATACCATATGTATTTCAGCTGAATTAAGACTTTAGATCTGAATACATCAACTAATTTGACATCTAATTAATTGCAAAATATGTACAATTACTATTTCATTCATTTATATATAGCTACTCGTATAAAATTGTGAGCTTCAGCTCTGCAAGGACTGGCAAGGGTATCCGCTGGTCAAGCACTGCCGAGCAGAGAACTTTTACAACTTTTAGTTTTCACTAGACAATGAAAAACATTTCAACTACCAGATTCTATTTGAGTTCCTTAGTAATTATGCACATATTTAAACAAAACTAAATGCATCACTTTTAATGAATATTGTGCTGCAATATGCTGCACACGAGCTATGCACAAAGCGCAATTGTTGCTTTGAGCAGTTCGTGTAAGCCCATAGAAATAGAACCGCTTTAAAAACATAAAGTTTTACTCGCAGCTACAAATTGTTCGCATTTTGCTGACGGTGCAAAGTTTGCGCCATTGCACAGCAGACGGAAACGCTGCGTATACGCAATATATCATATTTGATATACTTTTAACGTGGCGCACTTCAAAGCGTTTGCCTTTTAGGTGACAGTTTGCTAGCACATTTCTAGTAATTATTTTCTGCAATGTAGCAACCCAACCACAAAGGCGCCACGTTACCGCTGCCAGCGGTGTGGTGTGGTGGGGGAGGTGGTGCGACGGGTGGGCGAAACACAAAACAGACGCCGCAACGCATTTGTTGGCCATGTGCCAAAATGTGAAACTATGCGCATGTAAAATGCAATAAAAAGTGATAAATATAAGTGTATAAGCATCGGAGGTGCCGACATGTGGCCACGCCTCAAATGCCCCTAAGGAGCAGCAGCAGCAGCAGCCACTGGACTAAATTGAAGGTGTTACACACAGCTGAGCTGGCCTGTACGTGTGCTAATATATCATTGGGCCAAATAGTTGCGTGCCCGCATTCAAATTGTGTGAGCTTTAAATAAAATTTATTTGGCTGCTTGAGGCACGTTGCGACTGTCAGGCAGTCGAGCAGCCGCTGGCTAATCAGTTGACATTTTGAAGCGATTTTAATTTTAAGCCGCTGTCAAAGGTCACACCAAACAGTTAAAGATACGAACACAGAGAGCGAGAGAGAGAGAGAGAGACAGTCAGACTGCCAGCCAGACAGAGTCACATATGCAGAACTTTTAAGGCCACGCAAAGAGTTCAAAAGGTCCTTTCGCTGGCCCCGGCTGAGGCGTGCGTGTTGCCCGGCCATTGCCATTGTTGGCAACATGAGCTAATTGTTCAAGTTATTGTTATCAGCCATGAACAATCTTACAATCCGTTTCATGTCCGCCGGGGTCAAGACATGCATATGCTTAATTCAATTAGGGACGTGATGATAATCACTCCTTGATACGTGCCCTTCCAAATCGCTGAGCAGAAAACTTTCGCAGCGATTGATTTATGTGTGTATGGAAAATGTTAACTTAACACTTGACGAATTTAGTTTTGCTAACGAAATGAATTCAAGCAAATAATTGAGTAGATTTCAATGGCTTAATCTAGCTGAATTTTGTATATTTTTTTTTAGTTAGTTATTTAGCTTAACAGGGGTCAACATTCTTCGACTGTTGCAGCAGAAGCTGTCAGCCTTATCGATGTAGACAAATAAGATGAGATTATCTCATGACTGTCGTCTCTTAGRGAACTGAATTTATTTATTTACGTTTTATATTCTCCTATTTCTCTCTCGTATACTTTGAGCTTGTTCTTTGACATATTCCACCAACGTTCATCTTGATAAGGAAAGTCAGTGAGTCTGCTTGCGACTCTCTTAAATTGCAATCTTATTCGTGCTAGACATGAATAGTCTGCTTGTGTAATTAATTTCAGCTCTTTATCATTAATTTGCATTTTTAATTTATTTAATTTCTTAGCACCTATTTAAGACTCTTAAACTTCCAAAATAAAGGCCGATTTCAGTGACAAAACCATATTTAACATATTAAAAAGTTTGCCATTAATTTTACTCCTCCTCCTGTCCAGGCCTCAACGAAAGTTGAACAGAGAATTAGGCAGCGGCAATTTTTGGGCAAATCCGTACCCTTATCATTCTCGGGCGCTAAAGTTTGACACCTACAAAAGTCGCATACGGCGCCACATTTATAACAGAAGGTTCTGTACACGACCTGAGCTGAAATTAATCCAGCTAAACAGGTAAATACACACAAAATGCGAACACCGACACACACACACACACACAGACACACAGACAACGGCTGGTGCCCAAACCCAAAACCAAAACGAAACCAAAAACCAATCCCTGTCCCCAGACAAACGCCATGTCAGCCGTGGGGCAAGTGGTTTGGCGTAATGCCAGCGAGTGCTTAAAGCGTTCATTATGCAGCTGTGGATTTATGAGTGGCTGTTTATGTACGCAAGCTTAACAGGTCTTGTGGCATGCCAATTGTCGTTGCACTTAGCGTGCTTAATGTGCAAAGCGACTGTATTAATGAGTTTTTCAATTTGCATTGCAGCAACAGCACTCTGTACGACATGGCTCATGCCTAAGCTGGGCCACACACACGCACACACACAAGCAAGAGGGAGCATGTTGCATCTGAGGCTTTTCGATAGCTCGTTCTATTATACGCTGGCCTCCGTGTCGTCGGGCATGCTGCCACCCCCTCAGGCGACCAATGGCAGCCAGTTGACGCTGAATGGCACAACAGTCGCGGCGCCCGGTGTGGAGGCTGCAGTTAATCTGACATATTTTACACCTGCGAACTCACACGTGATGCTGGCGCCGACGCCAACGACCGCCAGTGCCGCCCAGACGACAGCGGCGACAATGGCAGCAGCAGCAACGACGGCAACAGCAACGACAACAGCAGCAACAGCAGCAACAACATCGCCCGGCAGCGATTTCCAGGCAGCAGCAGCAGCCGGCGACAACGCGACGACGCCATATGCGGGCGAATTGGACAACTTGAATTCGTTCTACTTTTACGAGGTGGGTAGCCAACAAATGTATATACATATATATATTAGAAATATCTTAGAGCTCCGGCTCGTGGCATTGTCTTCTGAGTCAGCGCATCTGCGCGGAGCGCACTCAGCTAATTTATGCATTGAAAACCAGGACAAGCTGCAATAGGGCTGCCCAAAATCATTCTATATTAACTTTTTGTTTCATTCAATTGATTTGGCAAAGCAGCACTACGAGGGTGGGTCGAAAGGAATGAGCTAGATGATATATAAGATAAATATAAAACATAAAAAAAAAACAAGTAAGAAAACTCTAGTCGAGAGTGCTCGACTAGATACTACCCTGAACCCAACAAATAAAAATGCTCATTTAGTATGGCTGAAATTTCAATTTCGATGTATTTAAAAATATAAATAAAATACCAAACTCATTTAATAAAATATAAAAATATTTTGAAACAATTAAAAAAAATTAACATCAGTTGCATCGATCGGGATTCGAACCGCGACTCCTCGATCGAGCGTCATGCTGCTAACACACTAGGCCACCTCACTCCTGCTAGTGGCGCTGGCAAANACGGACAGACGGACAGACGGACAGACGGACAGACGGACAGACAGACAGACGGACAGGGCCAAATCAACTCAGCTCGTCACCCTGATCAAGAATATATATACTTTGTGGGGTCTGCCACGCCTCCTTCTGCCTGTTACATACATTTCAACAAAACCATTATACCCTGATTTCCCATTTTCAATGGGTTCAGGGTATAAAAATAAAATAATAATAATAAAATTAAAATAAAGCAATATAGCCATATAATAGTATTCATTACAGAGCAGATAAAATATAATCAACATTCTGTCATACATAACCAAATGATTTTATTTATCTTATTTACTTTATTCATTTATTTCATGTTTATTTCATTTATTATTATTTTTTTATAAGACAATTCATCATCTCGCATCATCTCTATTATGTTAACCTAAGCTTTTGCAGTTTTCAAGCAACCCTCGCATTTAGAATGCATGTGAATGACTTTGGCTACAAACTGCAAAGTTTTTTTATTCGCTTGCCGCAAAATCAAACTGAACTGAGCAGAGCAGAGCAGAGCAGCGCAGCGCAGAACATTGGCAGACAAAACTCTTGGCGCTCTTGGCCGGGGTCACAGTCGGCAGCTGTTGCCATGTTTTTGTTTTGGTACAAATTTGAATTTTGCGCAAGTTGAAAGCGACTCGAAGTGCTCTCTGGGACAGAATGACAACGCACAATAATGAGGCAGACTGTTGGCAAATGTCATTTGTTTCGCAGCTGCAAATTAGAAATGAAATCGCAAGATGAGCCACAGAGTGAGGGGGGCAGGGGTGGTTGCTCTCTCGGTTAATTTGCATGGCTGGCGGGCGTGGCTTATCAATTGGGCAATCAATCAGCGGTCGCAAGTCGTGACAACAACTTCGATTAAACTAAACTTCCGTTTTTTCTTGCCATTGCCATAAAAGCCGAACCGTGGGGCGGGGAGAGGCAAACGCCGCCAAGTGTGGCACGCATGCAACGTGTAATGAAATCTCCACACGCGCCATCGTATAAATCACGCCAACGAGCTGCCATTGTTAAAGCGGAAATAGCCTTAAACCCAAGACGTTTGTCCCCGCGCCCCACCCCGTCAACCAATCTTTGCTGCCAATCGCTCAAAGTGTGTGTGTGTGAGTGAGAGTGTGTGTGTATGTTTGCCATAAATTTGGATCTATTTAAATGAGCAGCACAAAAAGTAAGAAGCCAAATTCCAACACACACTCACACACACACACACATACTGCCAGCATATGGCTGACAAAGAGTAGAGCTGAGTCCTCCACCTTGCCCCGCGCGTCTGCCCGTCTAACAATGACAAAGTTGTAAAAAGCAAAGCAAAAAACAAAATCGAGCAAAAAAAAAGATGGAATCAAAGCAGGCGTAGGCTACAAATGCCAACAGCTTATTGATTCGAGTGCTAGTTTTTATGTGCGCCCATCGGAGTATCCTTATAAAGAAAAGGATCGCAAGGGTAAGCATATAATTCATCTTCGTCTCGACTGGACGAAACATAAGTTTGCCCCTTGCACAGATATTTGCGACATATTGACAGTCCAAATGTTTTACATATAAACCAAATATTTTTCTTTTTCTATTGGTTTAGGCAAATCAAGCAAATGGCTTCTCGACTTGACTCGTTGATAGATGTTAATATCTGTTTGTTTAGAGCAGCCTTTTCCCTTATTTGCATTCGCTAAAAATAACAATATTGAAATTTATATATTCCATGGACTAAGCCAGACACAGCAAAAAATTTAAAATAAATAATCCTTTTATTAATAAACCAGATGCCTAGACATCTCAGCGTCGCAATTTCAGCTCTTTAGCCATGGCCATTCTCGACGGCTGAACGACAGGGATACGAAGGGTTTAGCTAACGGTGTCATATTTCAGTCCGGCTTAGCTGGGGCTGCTGTGAAATTTGAATAGTTTCAATGTGAACTCGACTTAAACGATGCAAATAAATGACCAAGCTAAATGAAATGAAATAAAGTGATTTATTATGCAGTGAAAGCTTACGCAAGTTGTCTAAATACTTAAGAGATTAACTAACTAAAGTAGAGAATGTAACATATATAATATATTACGCATACGCCACGTGGACGGCTTAAGATTGTGTAATCAATAAATAATAAGTAAAATGTATACATCAATTACATTCATAAACACATACATGCACATACATAAATACATTTCGAAAATCATACGCCACGTGAGCTCTGCTCAAATTTAAATTGCTTAAGCATTAGATGACAGCAATGATGCAAAGCAAATCAAATGCTGATTAAATCAACAGAATAACCTGTGCAGAGCCATACAGAGTGTGGATGGCATTAAAGCTCGTCGACATGGAGTCCATACTCGCACATTGGCAAGGCCATGCCCCGGAGACTAATCTTGGCTCTGACACAGATATGCCAATTACAGCTGCATCACACTCTGCACGCGGCGCCCGAAAGGTTAGACAAAGTCAAATATGACAGCTCATGCCAAATCGAGCAGCGAGCGGCCAATGCGGACGACCATGGCCAGCTCGAACGGATTGCAGTGTATCCAGTATCTGCGTCTATCCCAGCTCGAGCCGGGAGCTTTGCCCCTTTGCTTGGGAGCTCGGCTGCTGGACTGCTGGAATGAGCAGCAATTTCGTTTCATGTGCAAGCAGCTTTGCCTTTGCTAGTTGCTGGATTTTTCCACATGCTTTCAGGCATCCCCCCAATCGCACACACTCACACACACGCTCGCACGATTAGCCGAGAGCAAAAACAAAAACATTGCGCAATTTTATGTATGTTTGCTAGCAAAATCGAAGCATATTATGCAGCCGCACACGCAGCTACTCGCTTTGTTTGTCAGCTCAACTCCAGAAATGTGCTCCTCCAGCTACTTTGCCAGCTCATGTCCGTTCTATTTGCTATAGCTGCACGACCACACACGTCATTCCCATTTCCTTGGCTTGGCTTTAAACATTAAATTCCAGCAATTTGGCCCTTTGTTTCACTCACTCAGACAAAATTGTTCGCTGTCCGCTGTCCGCCGTCCGCCGTCCGCTATCGGGTGGCCAAGGACTCAAAGCCGTCTGACATGTGGGTGAGTGAGTGGCGCTAATGACCCTGGTAGCAGTTACTCAATATACCTTGAGCCTGCTGAACCTTCTCGACGTCACCCGTCGCTCGTCTCAAGGCCTCTTAGCACTTGTTTTTCATAATCCACTCTTACTTTATTTTTAGCCCAGCCCAGCGACGACGTCCTGTCGCGCTGTGTATGAGTGCTTATTATATACGATTATTATATATATTTATTTATAAGCATTCAATAGCTACAACAATAGCGACCTTCGGCCCATGTGGCCATCAAAAGGCAACATTAATTGAAGACTTTGTCAGGCATCGCGCACAATAGGAAATGTATGAGATTTCACCAAATGTTTACTTGATAATACAGCGCCATACTCTAAGCCAAGTTAGATTTTGTAAGGCTTTAGTTTTAGCTGTTTGCACAAAATTGACAATGTTAAAAAGTTTTTTTTATTTTTATTCTTTTCTTAGCATACAATTTATGCTTTTATAGTGAATGTTCAAACTTTAGAATTTTATTTAAATTTTTTATTGTTATAATTTAGTTTTTTATACATGAAAACTTTATATTATTTTAACTAAAGACTGTTTTAGCTTTTTATACAAACTGTAAGAACTTGATTTTATTTTTAGTTTTGTTTAATCAGTCTAAGCTGTCTATAGTAAATGCCAAATCTCAGAAATTGTACATTCATTTTATTTTATCAGAATACGTTTCAAGTTTTTATAGAAAAACAAAATTTTTAGTTATGTAAAGTTTAGCTTCTTATTGAAAATGTCCCAACAAAAAAAAAAATATTTAATTTTTTATCTTCATATGCAGTGTTAGCTATTCATAAACAATAATAAGTCTAGAAAATTTTATTTTTCTTTTTAATCTTTTATCAAAAAATGTATAACTGTCTTTAAGAAATGTAAAGACTTAAACATTTAAATTATTTTTTATTCTTTAATCTGAATTTTTAATTTATATTTATTTATCAGAGCACAGTTGATGTTGTTTCTAGAAAATATAAAATTTTTTAAATTCCATCTTTTTTTATATTTTTTTAGGTTTTTATAACAAAATGTGAAAGCTTGAAATTCCTATATTTCATTTTATTTTTAAACAGAAAGCAGTTTTAGCTGTTTACAGAGAACGTAAACTCTTACAAATTCCATCTTCAATTTTATTGTTTCATCAGAATTTATAAATCGAACTTGAAATTGTATTCCAAAGAATCTATTGTGTCACTTAAATGCTCTTACTTGAGATATTTTATAAACTCTATATACCACATGTCTGTTAAAGCTGATCTTATATAGAGTCATTCACCGATGAGACCTGCTGCCAGTTAGCGTTAATCTAGCAAGAAAATGTATCTTAAGCTCGCT